CATAGCTGGCTGATGAATTCTGGGAGTTGAAGTCCACAAGTCTTAAAGTTGCCAAGTTGGAGGGACCCCTGTTTTGAAGAGTCAACTCACGCCAGGGGCATCACTCCAAGATGAATCTTACAGCCAAACCAACTAATAGCTTTTCTCAGAATGAACAACGGGCAAAAATGGGCCAACTCGTCCTGTTCAACTCCCGCATGGGACAATTCAACAAATGCAGAAGTTAAATTTCATTTTGACAGAACGGTGGCCAACCATCCTAAAATAAAGCCAATCCAGAAAGGCAAAAGAGTATTTGGATGAAAGCATAGTCACCAAGAATGAAAGTATCTGAATGATTAATACAGCACTGAATTGTCCCGAGATGAGTTGGCCACGGCGAATTATCCAAGTACAAAGGTGTTGCTTTTAAAAATGACTTGAGACTGTAGGCCAGGTAGGAACCATCAAGATCCATCAAGCCAGCTGTTCTGACCCGGCTCCCAAACACGACAAACCCTCTGAAGTGAATTCCACATATTCCTTTCTTAGCAGCACCAGCAGCCCTGGTGGTGGTTTATCTCTCGCCGCAGGCTAACAAATCTGTCCAGTAGGGAGTTGTATAGTTGTCTGCCACATCTATTCATCGCCACCCCCTGCCTTTTATCCCCAGAGCTAGGGTGGGGCTTTGCTAGCAACGGTGGCTCTTCCGTCCCAAGGACCGGCCCATAGATTTCCACTGCTCTCCTCTCCTCTCCTTTCTGTGCGTCTGCCTGTCAGGCACTGGGCCCAGCTGTTCTTTCTCTTCCTCATCAGCCTCCAGACCTGGGGGGCTGTTGACTCTCCATCTGAAGGCTGTTGAGATGGCCCAGGGTCCACCTCTCTATCTTTGACAGCTCCATTCCCTCTTCCTCTTCAGAGCTCTCAGATTGCCTCGATGCCGGTCCTGACTCCGACACATTTGATTTGGCTGCTGAAAGGGGCCAGTGGCTACAAGCCACAACACTAGCATTGCTCTCTACAGCAGTGTTCCCCCCCACCTGCCTGGCTTTGTGGACTAGCAGGAGGGGAGAAGGGATGGTTCTAGGTGAGTGGTGGGTGAGCCCACCTCTTCCATGGCCCGGGTCCAAATGGACTTGGGGACCCCTGCTCTACAGCCAGCAGCTCCTCTCTGCTTAATGCTTGTTCCCCTAACAGCACAAACTGGAGCAAACACAATGGATAAACGTTACTCTTTTAAACCATTAAACTATTGTGCCTTGTCTCGAACCCGGCAGGATCCACCATCTCATGGGTATTTTGTACAAACAAGTCCCCAACATGGCTTGCCTCCCTCCTGGGCCCGCTAGCACCCCACGGATTCCAGACCTGCTGCGTAGTTGAGAGCCAGGGAAGGTTCTCGTGGAGACAAGCCACGAAGCAGATCGACTCTCTGAGCCATGGTGGTAGCCGTGGCAGCGTTGTGGTGCATCTGCTGGGAGGTGATGTAGTCGTTGATGATGGTCTGTCTGTTCTCCATGGCGGCGGTGTCTGGGTAACCACGGATGAGGTAGGGTGGGTAGAGATGGGAGTACGTAGGACCAGGAGCAAGGTGCCTTGGTAAGTAGTAGGCAGCTGTTGAGTCGAAAGATGAAGAAGAGAAAGTCCATTTCTACCCGTACCAGATTTTAGAACATGTACATCCAACCTTGAACGAGATCTCAATTCCTGTCTTCTACATCTTTCCATAAAGCTCCACTTAAAAGTCTTCCAAATCCTTTCCCCGCCCTTTCCCAGGGCCAATCCCATAGATCAGGGGTGTCAAACTCAAGGCCTGCAGACTGCACTGGGGTGCTTGGATCTGGCCCTTAGCAAAACAAACTAAAAGCGAAACAAAACCAAAGGAGAAATGTGTCCCCTTTTGCATTTGAGCACGCCAGAAGGGGCAGGAAAGAAGAAAAGGAAAGAGGAAAGGCAAAGGAAAAAGAAGGGAAGAGGGGAAGAGACCAAGAAAGGAAACATAAGTGGGGAAGGAAGAAGGAAGGAGAAGGAAGAAAAAAAGAAGGAAGGAAGGAAGGAAGGAAGGAGAAGGAAGAGGAAGGGAAGGAAGGAAGATTATAATGAGAGGGAGGGAGGGTCTGAGGACAGTCCTGCCTTAGCACTTGGGCCCCCCCAGGTGCCCCCGACACCATTGGTGCTGAGCTGCCCGCCCCCCCCAGGTCAAACACAACCCTGACGCAGCCTTCAATGAAATAGAGTTTTCACAACCCTGGCCCTACATCTACGTGCAACCCTACCATGTTGGTAGGGTTGCACGTTCTACCACCGAGATCCGTACTCGTAAAAACCGGTCCAATCTGCACTGGGGACAAAGCTACACAATGCCCAACAGGGGATGGGTTTGTGGACTTTCCGATGCTCCTACCTGCTTCCAAGGGAATCCCTCGGGGAATGGCAGCAGGGTCAAAGGTCAGTGGAATGTGCCCTCTGTATAGATCCATGCCACCTGTCCCGCGGATCAGGTGCTCAAACATCTGGTGATGGTGTTCTGGAAGCGGGGTATGAGGAGATTTGGAGCTAGTGATGTCTCTGGAGCTGGTTGTGACCTTCCTGTCTTGAGACATGGGTTTTCCAGCAGTGATGCTTCCTGTCGGAAGAAAAGGAGAACGTCAAAAGAAGCGAATCTTTGCAGCTCAGGGTTGAATTGTAAGGTCCTCAGTGTTCTCAGGACACCGATGAGGTTTCCTCGGTCAGTCATGAAACATCTGCAAGAAATGATCTGCATGACTGAGAATCTCTACAGACTTTTTAGCTATACAATTTGGGACGGACACCCTTTGAACGGTGCGGGAGTACGAACGGATCTCCAGAAAGAAAGAAAAAAAATTGCAGACTACAGGAACCATTTGCACTAATCAGGTGACCCTGAGGGCACAGATAAACCTCCAAGTGGCCTCAACGACCCTCTAAAACAGAGGTCCCCAAACTTGTGGACTATCCCAAACTTGGCAACTTTTAAAGACTTGTGGACTTCAACTCCCAGAATTCTCCAGCCAGCATAGCTGGGAGTTGAAGTCCACAAGTCTTAAAAGTTGCCAAGTTTGGAGACCCCCGCTATAAGTAGTATGTATGTCTTTCACAGTGTACATTTCAAGGTATACAAGGCGGAGGAAACGCCAGGATGGTCACACTGTGTTCAATATATAAAATATGTATTTAAAAAAGAAAGAAACAAGCCCACACTTCCTGAAAACGGCCATGCTGTGCTTGAAACATGACCAAGAACATCAAGGCCTCAGATGTCTTTCTATAGAAAACTGCACTGAAACAACTTGGGAGTAATTAGGACTGCAGAAAAAAAACATGGCTACCAACCTGCCTTCCATGGAGGACCTGCATGCTGCACGAGTCAAAAAGAGGGCTGTGAAAATATCTACATACCCCTCACATCCTGGACATAAACTGTTTCAATTCCTTCCCTCAAAACGACGCTATAGAGCCCTGCACATCAGAACAACTAGACACAAGGGGAGTTTTTTCCCCCGAAGGCAATCATTCTGCTAAACAAATAATTCACCCAACACTGTCCAACTATTGACTAAGTCTGCACTACTATTACTCTTAATCTTCTCATCCTTCCTTTCACCCATCCCCTCCCATTTGTGACTGTATGACTATAACTTTGCCGCTTGTATCCTTACAATTTATACTGACTGTTTCCTAGTATGATTGGATTGCTTATTGTACCCGATGACTATCATTAAGTGTTGGACCTTGACAAATGTATCTTTTCTTTTATATACATTGAGAGCATTTGCACCAAAGACAAATTCCTTGTGTGTCCAGTCACACTTGGCCAATAAATAATTCAATTCAATTCTATTCTATTCAATTCAATTCTATTCTATTCAATTCTATTTTACTCTATTCTACTCTATTCCCATTCCCTATTCTGTTCTCATTCCCATTCCCTATTCTGTTCTCATTCCCTATTCTATTCTATTCTATTCTATTCTATTCTATTCTATTCTATTCTATTCTATTCTATTCTATTCCCATTCCCATTCCCATTCCCTATTCTATTCTCATTCTCATTCTCATTCCCTATTCTATTCTATTCTATTCTCTTCTCTTCTCTTCTCTATTCTATTTTCTATTGTACCTGATGATTCTTGACTCTTGACGAATGTATCTTTTCTTTTATGGACACTGAGAGCATCTGCACCCAGACAAATTCCTTGTGTGTCCAGCCACACTTGGCCAATGAAAGAATTCTATTGGACTACCTATTTCTATTTGAGTTCTAGAACCAGGTGGCATGGAGCTCCTGCAGATGTCCCCCCGAAACAAGCAAGGCGGCTGACCTTCCAGTTGCTTGGGTGCAGCCTCTCTCGTGGAGACGGGGGACCCTCGGTGCAGGTGTCCTCCAAAAGCTGCCCCGTGGGCCGCCTGGTGGTCTTCGTAGGCAAGGGGGCTATGGCGAGGCTTCCCTGGCTCAGGCATAATCATGGGCGCTCCCCGCGTGATGGAGCCGCCAGAGTTCGTCACAGGGCTGGGCCTGCTGCTTTTCAAATTGTCCTCGTACGCTCTTTCCAGCGTCCTTGGGTCCTGCATGGCCTCCATGGGGAGCATGGGGTGAAAATTCCTGCCCGGGCTGCCAATAATAGACCGGACATCGTGCTTTTTGGCATTTGTGGATGTGTTTGTGTCGTATTTCAGTGGAGTACCCTGGAAGCGAGAGACAAAAAAAAAAGAAGGATCAGTAAGCAAGTGAAGGACAGGACCATGCTCAGGTCAAGATGCTGTCAGCTTTGGAAGCCATATTAGCGCCAGATGCTTCCACGCTGCCACATTCTTGAGCCTGGGAAAATGGGAGGGGGGAATTTCATGGAGCGTATGTGATCAGACATAATAGCATCCTTTTTCTAAGTCAAGGTCATGTTATTTCTGCACCTGGGTGAGAGGACGTCTCAAGTTGGGACGGATGAAGATTGGGGCATGTGATGGGATGTTGGGTGAAGAGGGTGGATTTGTAATTTTTTTTACTTACTGCAAGGAAACCCGGAACTTTCAGATTTGGGATTTGCCAGATGGTGCCAGTTTATTACTCTAATAAAAGGAACTTTGGAGATTAATGTCTGTCTCAGCGTTATTTGCTAGAGTGGAGATTTTCTGGAATGCTGACAGACGCCACATTTCATGGATTGGTTTGTTTTAATTCACTCTCTCCATTTGATGGGCTAGAAGAACACCATCAAACAAGAACTTCTTTTGGACATGATAGTCCAGGAGCTTCCAGCTTCTAAGAGGTTCTCCCCACCAAGGGAGACTCGTATTTTGAGGCGTCTTCTGGGTTCAAGACCACCTAAGAAAGCTCAGCTTCGCTTTGGCCTAGGATTTAAATCAACAGCCTTGGTTTGGAATGAACGGATAGGTAATAGCACATCCGTGCTAGTCGTTTCCGGCTCTAGGGGGCGGTGCTTACAAAGCGGAAGAGCCAGCGCTGTCCAAAGATGACTCCATGGTCACGTGGCCAGCAGAACTAAACACCGAAGGTGCATGGAACGCTGTTCCCTTCCCACCAAAGTGGTCCCTATTTTTCTACCTGCATTTTTTAATGCGCTTTCGAAACTGCTAGGTTGGCAGAAGCTGGGACAAGGAACGGGAGCTCACTCCGTCACGCGGCGCTAGGGATTCGAACCGCCGAACTTCCGACCTTTCTGATCGACAAGCTCAGCGTCTTTGGCCCAGAGCCAGCGTGTCCCCAGACCCTCAAACCAGGCCTTCAAATATGTCTTCAAAACACAGTTGTGCTTGGTTGTGAGGTCCCCTCCCCCGACAAAGGCCAATTCTCGTCTGTTCTGCTCCCACAACGAACTAAACCCAACCTGACCCGACTCAACAAGCAATCCCAAAGCCTCACGTGCACCAGCAGTCAAACTCTAGCCTGGATTCTAAAGGCAGAGTTTGCGCAAACCCAAAGGGTTGCGATCTAGAAGCGGAAGGCGGACAGGCCCAACCGGTTGACGTTTAGGCATTAAAAATGTACGCCGTATTTATCTTGTTGTTAGAGAGAAAATCAAAATGTGCTCCAGCATTTATTTTCTGTTGGAAACAAACAAACAGATAAGCTTCTAAAAAAGCTGACATAATGCAACCATTCTTTATGTTTTAGCCTCCAGTCCCCTCATCGTCTCTCTTGATCTTCTCTGCTCGTATGGAACCTTTTTTTCCCTGTATTCTTCAAGACAGAATCCGAAAGCAAACTGCTGCACGAATCCAACCATCTGTTACCCCCACAGCCTGGGAATCACCCCTACCCTGTTGCTATGGAAACAACCGTCCCCCCCCTCCCCAATTTTTTCCAGCCTACAAGAATGGACCTGGTCCAAGCATTGTTTTGAAAATCTGGAACTAGGGAGAACTTTATTTGCTTGCAAACAGACTCAGAGCTTCAAGGCCGAAAGAGCCCAGGAGAGGCCTGCAATTCAAATCCATCAAAGGCGATAGATCACATCTGGCAGTTTTGGAACAGGCCGGTGCCCGGTTTGGTGCAACGCCAAGCCGTAATTCTTTGCCCCATGCAAACTAACCGTGGCGGGTCTCCAGTCTCCAAGGAGAGGTTTAGAAACCATCTGTTTACACTACTTGAATGCCGTTTGTGGTTCAATCGCCCTTGGGTCAAGCTGGGGTTAATTGAAAGAAGGAATGTGCCCCATCAATTGTGCTGGGTAAATCCCGGTACCAGCTCACCAGAAATGGCCAACTTGGAGGGGTTTTTTTTCAGCCCAAAGGTGCTTTTTCAGGAGGCAATTGGACGTTCTTGTTTTTCTTTCTTCTTTTTAAAGACATTTCGCTTCTCATCCAAGAAGCTTCTTCAGCTCTGACTTGGATGGTGGGGCATGGAAGGATTTATATTCCTTGCAGACAGCGGGTCATTTGCCTCCTTTTAGAGGGTAGTTGAGGCCACTTGGAGGTTTATCTGTGTCCTCTGGGTCACCTGAGTAGCGCAAATGGTTCCTGTAGTCTACAATTTTTTGGACACAGGATACAAATAAACCTCCAGGTGGCCTCAACAACTCTCTCAAAGAATGAAAATGACCATGCAAGGAGTATAAATTCTTCCGTTCCCCAACCTCCAGTCAGAGCTGAAGAAGCTTCTTGGATGAGAAGTGAAAGGTCTTCAAAAGAAAAAACAACAACAAGAAAGTCCAGTTGTCTCTTGAAAAAAGCACCTTTGGGACAACCATCACCTGGATGACTGTGAACCTCTACATTTTTTTGTTTTAAATTAAATGAAAAGAGAACATTTATCGACTCATTTTTGATTAGCAGGGGTCTCCAACCTTAGCAACTTTAAGCCTGGTGGACTTCAACTCCCAGAATTCCCCAGCCAAGTTACCAAGGTTGGAGACCTCTGGCTTAAAGCATCCCGACACCCACCGATATTTCCTCTTTTTTTATCCATGCAATTCTGTTATTTCCAATATGAACAGTCCTCAACTTACGACTACAATTGCTAAGCAAGGTCGTGCCTGAGTTTACAAGCCTTCCCCCTCACACACACCTATACAGTAGCTAAGCGAATTACTGCATCTGTAAAGTGAATCATAAGGTCATTAAACAAATCTAGCTTTGCCCATTGATAGGATGGTTGGAAACTGAAAAGTAATGATATTGCGAGCGTTGTAAGTTGGGGACCAGCTGCAAGCCACTTTTTTCAATGCCGAGTAATTTCGAATAGTCACTAAACCAGGGGTCGGCCATCTTAAACACTCAAAGAGCTACTGTTCAATTCTGAAGCTGACCAGAAGTCCGGTTCCACCACCACAGAGTCTCCTCTACCTATCCTAACCCAAAGTCCTATCAATTGTGGAGCCAACTGGAAAACCCACCCCTTGCCATAGCTTCTCCTCCTGGCACGGTGGGCTTTCCCACCCAAACCGAAAGCTCCTCTCAAAATTGTGCCGCCGACTGGTGTGGCGCCGACTGGCAGCAGAGGGATGAAAAGAGCCACATGCAGCTCCAGAGCCGTGGGTTGCCGACTGCTGCACTAAAACGAATGGTTGTTAAGTCAAAGGACTAACTATATGCTCGTTTTAGGACTATCATAAAAATCTGATTTATTTCAAGCCTTGGGAGATACCTGGGTAATCGATCCTTCCTTAATGGGCCGGGACATCAGAGAGAGATCGGGAGCGCGACAAAGATCCTCCTTCGGAATCTCATGAATCGATCGCCCGGCTTCCTTCACCGTGGTGACCAGCCCTTCGTGGACCGCTTTCAGCTTCAACGGAGTGAGGGACTCGTGGCTCCTGACCTTATAGGCGTCTGTTAAATCCCTTGGTGGTGTGTTCTCCCTCTTGGGTTGCTTTGCTTCCCTTCGGGGATAGTCCTCTGGAGATTCTACGTAGGACCTAGGAATTCCTAAAGGAAAAACACACAGAGTGGGCCTGTGTCAAATCTTTCTCCTCCTTTACTTTAGAATCAGGGGCCTCCAAATTCGGCTGTCAGCTTTGGAAGCCATATTTTTACTCAGAAGCTGCCAAGCTGCTACATCTTAGTGCCTGGGAAGTTGGGATTTCATGGAGAGGTGGAAGATTAGGCATAACAACATTCTTCTCTTAAAGTCAAGGACAAGTTACCCTGCACCTGAAAAGGACTGGCTAGAGCAGTGGTGGCTAACATTTTTGGGCTCCTGTGCTAAAAATTTTATGCGTGCTCGCGTTCCAGCACCCAGAAGGCAATGCGCGCAGCTCCCCACACCTCCTGGGCCTGCATGCACAATTCTCCCCCCCCCCTTAACTAGACTGTGCGCCTCCCAGCTGATTTTCGATCTATTTAAGGGTTTTTTTCGACCTCCCAGAGGCTTGAGGGAAGCCTCTGCAGCCTTTGGAAGCCGAAAAATGGGCCAGATTTCCACCTTGTTTCTTCCAACGTTAAGCTGGGGGGTGGGGGTGGGGGAATGACAATGGACACCCAGAAAGTTCTATCTTTTTTGCATGATTACCTTGTGTGATGGAACCTCGGATATGATGTGGATCCTTTAAGTTGAGCGGACTGTGCCTCTCGGGGGGAATGGCTCGTCCCATTAAACCTAAAATGATCCCGCCCACACACCAAGAAAAAAATAACAATTAAAACCATGACATTTACGAGCATGTCAATCTTTCATTCAACAAGATGGATCAGTCTCGGGTTTTGAATGCCCTGATAAGCAGACCGAAGAAAAAGATGGAAGGATCTATTTGGGGTTTTTCTTTTTCTTTTTGCTGCAAACAAGATCTCCAAATTCCACCACCTCGAAGAACTGGGCGTATTTTGAAACTTCTTTTAAAGTTCCCCTTCTGGTTAAAAAGGAATGACCGAGGACAGGAGGGAGGCTGTTTACACACTAGAAAATAAAATTTCCCATTCTACATTCTTCGTGTTTCTACCCCGTTGCTGCGCTTCGCCGGCATCCTGTGCAGACGGCAGCGGAATCGGACAGTGGGGAAGAAAGGGGACCAGTCCAGGAATCTGGGGAGGACTCGGACGAGGGTCCTGCGTCCGATGCAGAGATGGGTCCAGGGCCATCTGGGAGTGGGGTGCTGACTCCGGAGCCTTTAGAGTCTGGCAGCAGTGAGGAAGACGATCCAGGGGAGCCTGTTCCCAGTGCGTGTGTGCACAGAGCTGCCAGAGGGCAAGAGCAGCCAAAACAAAAGGGGCAACTTGGGAGTAAGGCTTAGAGGTGATTGCCCCTCCCCTAAGGTATAAAGGAGGTGCAAAGGTAGAGAAACCTTTGCAGGGAGCAACGTCGTTCATTCTGTTCGGATTAATCCTTGAAGCTCTGTGTGGACTTTGTACTTCGGTTGGTTTTTTTCAGTTCAATTGGCACTTTAGGTGTTGGCAGCAGTTCAAAGGAGAGAAAGGTGGGTACTTATCTCGAGGGACTGTTTGGGATTCATTACGGGCTGGGAATGAACATAATTCCCAGCGTTGAAATAAAACAAGAGTTGTTTGGACTAAGCGAGTGCTTAATTACGGTCTTGGGAAGTCTTGGTCACAACACCTGTAGAGGCAACGTTCTGGGAAATAATTAAATATTTTTTATCAATACACCTAGTCTTTCACTTACAACCATTCACTTAGTGACCATTCGACACTACAGCGGCCCTGAAAAAAAATGACTTATTGCTGGTTTTCCCGTGGTCATGTGATCAAAATCCAGGCATTTGGGAACCGGCATGTATTTATGACCGTTGCATGTGCCGAGGTCATGTGATCATGAATGTGCAACCTTCCCAGCTCGCTTCTGACAACCCAAGTCAATGGGGAAGCCACGTCCGTTTAACGACTGTTACGGTTCACATAACAATTGTGGTGATTCGCTTAACAACTCTAGCAGAGAGTTGTTGTGGCCTGTCGCCCATATCAGATGAGCTGTGGGAATCCGGCTCAGTGTCAGGGCAACCTGAGAGCTCTGAGGGAGAAGAGGAAATGGGGCTGGCAGCAAGAGAGAGACGGAGGCAGAGCCTGGGCCGTCCACCAGCCCTCAGATGGAGAGTCAACAGCCCCTTCTGGAGGTGGCTGATAAGGAAGAGGAGGAAGAGCTGGATCCAGTGCCTGATGCGCAGCTGCACAGAAGGCAGAGGAGAGGAGAGCAGGGGAAATCTATGAGCCGGTTCTTGGGACAGAAGAGCCACCACTGCTGGACTCGTTTGCCTGTGGTGAGAGACAAACGTTTTGCCAGGGCTGCTGGCGCTCCTAATAAAGGAATCGTTGATTTAAATACAGAGGATTTGTTGTACAAAAGTACTAATACGGGACTTGCAGCTTGACTTAACAAGGGCCTTGCTTAGCAGTGGAAATTCTGGGCTCCGTGCATTGACGGTCATAACTCAAGGACTACCTGCATGATTGCTTCCAAGCTGCTTTATCAAACCCCACCTTCTATATTAGCCGAGGAGATCAGCCTGGACGTTCTCCCTTCCATCATGTCATACGTTCTCTTGGTGCCTGTCATCTCCTGTATCGCCGCGTTGCTCCTGCTGTTCTCTTTAGGGACCTGGTTAGCAACCCCACCTGGGAAGAGGAGAAGACAAGGAAAATGAGGAGAGCAAAGACACGCCGTGGAACTCCCTGCCCGGAAGGAGTCACGCCCCGCTACACGAGCGACACCAAGGACCGTTTCTATTGGAGTGGCAAACACAGAGGTGTTCGTCAACCACAACCCAAACGGTGTGCCTTGACTCCTGAACCTCGCCACTCTGAATCTGAATCTGGACCTGGCTCACGAGATCTGCTCCAAACTCAGTTCCTCGGACAGCACCGCGGGATTTTCCAGTGCACCACTCCGATTGGCGACTCTTTGTGAATGTTGCACACCTGACATAAAGAGCTTTGCAGGGAACGTTTGTCTCTGTCAGAACAGACGTTGCCTTCAGAAGTTATGGGAGCTTCATCCCTGGAAGCTTTCCAAGAAGAGACTGGACTGTCATCTGTCAGAAATGGTGTAGGGACTCCTGCTTGGGCAGTGGGGTTGGGCTAGATGACCTACAAGGCCCCTTCCAACTCTGTTAGCAAGGATAAACTGATTGAACGTTGTTGTTGTTGTTTTTCCAAGAGGCGAACTTGGACTTCCTTCGTTTTTCTTCCCTGAAGACGTTTTGCTTCTCATCCAAGAAGCTTCGACCAACGGTAGATCTTCTCACAGCCACAGAGTCAGCCATCGGGAAAGACAAACTGGCCGACCAGAGGCAGAACAATGAAGGATGAAGGGGTCTGAGCCCTTCCTCCCCCGGTGCCAAAACAACCCCCCCACCCTCCCAATTCGTCCAATTTGAGACAGCTGTCTGAAGTGGTCTAGGGTTTCCTGCCTAAGCAGGGGGTTGGACTAGAAGACCTCCAAGGTCCCCTCCAACTCTGTTTTCTATTCCTTTCCTGTTCTATTCCTACTCTATTGTATTCTATTCTTTCCTATTTTTTATTCTATTCTATTCTATTCTTTCCTATTCTATTCTATTCTATTTCTATTCTATTCTTTCCTATTCTATTCTATTTCTGTTCTACTCTATCCTATCCTATCCTATCCTATCCGATTTCTGTTCTATTCTATTCTAATTTCTGTTCTATTCTATTCTAATTTCTGTTCTTTCTATTCTATTCTTTCCTATTTTTTATTCTATTCTATTCTATTCTATTCTATTCTATTCTATTCTATTCTATTCTTTCCTATTCTATTCTATTCTATTTCTGTTCTACTCTATCCTATTCTATCCTATCCTATCCTATCCTATCCTATCTTATCCGATTCCTATTCTATTCTATTCTATTCTATTCTATTCTATTCTATTCTATTCT